GGATAAAGGTGGAGGGCTTCATCAGGTGAGAACTCCCAGTTGCCTGAGACGATGAACTAATCATCTTCTACACCCTTGTTGGAGTCTGGGAGGTCAGCAATAAGTTTAAAAGCAGTGGATCTAGGCTTTAGGTAGTATATGTAGCCTTTTTCGGACTTGAGGCCACACATGGTATAGCAAAATTGAATGTCGGCTAAAGTGATCCTATCTTTTTTTCAGTGTGCTAGTTCAATTATGCCATTGATAACCTGGTATTAGTTGATGGCTAACTACATAGGGTTGAGCTTATAATAGTGAAAGACCTCCCTAAAGAGAATGTCTAGAGGGAACCGAAGTCCACACTCTATAAAGGCCACTACTGGGAAAGGCATGCAATCCCCATCAGGCATGATAGAGTCCTCCCCCCCAGCCAACCTAAGATGGACGTTGGATGGGATGGAGAACTCTCTTTTAAAGTACTCAAGTTTTTCTGGGGTATCTACCCTCCACCTGAACATATCCATAATGTCGGCTAAAAGAGGAAGGTGCAAGATTTCAGAGGAGAGTGGTTGATATGGGTTTGAAAGACCTCGGCTAAAACCCTAAATAGGAATTGGGGCAAGGGTTTTTCAAGATCTAGGGGAGTTTGTTTCAATTTTCCTAAGTATGTGATTTCTCTATCAAAACCCAAGCCTAAATCTATATGGAAACACAAATCAATGGCAAGAATCTGGAAATAAACAAGAAAAACATAAAAGAGCAATAATTCAAACTCTAGAAAACCAACCGAAATTCAAGAACACTGTGTAAGTGTGTGCAGACGTGCAAAAACCAAAGAATAATGGCAAAATTGCTAAAACATCATGCGAACAGTGTGTGCATATATAGACCCAGAGACAGATTGAACAACACATAATTGCAAGCAAGCATGTTTTACATCCAAGTGATTCAATAACAAAAAATGGATAGATGATAAAGGGGGAAACGTATTCAAAATCATGGAAGATTGAAACTGAAAATTGAAAAAGAACAAAGAACTCACCAGTTGGGTCTGAGGTTAAGGTTCGCTGTAGTCAGACGGCGGAAATAAGTGGAGTAGAACAGTAAAAGCTTCGCCGAAGGAGATGAACAGAGTACAGTTGCAGAGAGCCCAATGAAAACAACAATGGAGTAGAGGATTTGTTAAGAGAGAGAAAATCTTGAAACGCAGAAAAAGGCAAGAATGTAAAGTGAAAAGACGGAGAGATGGAGAGATATTTTTTTAAAATGTGAAAAGGCGACAAACCATACCAATATGCCTTGGACAACATGTCTATCAGGCAACGTGCGCAGAAGCGACACGACTTGATGGCGCGTGTCAGGTATGAATCAATGGGAAAAGGATGCGTGGATAAAATAGTTGAGAAAACCGTGCGTGACAGCTCATGCGCAGATGGAACTCTTGAAGTTTTTTATTTAATAAGGCAAAAACCTCGGCTAGAGGAACGGTCCTGGTTAAGGAACTTTAAGAACTTAGTTCTTGGTTCTTAGTCATTAATAAAGTAGACTGCAGAGTCTTGGTCATGTCAAGCTGACGTGTGATGATCTCGGTCATGA